ACCCTGGGGAACTCCACTAGCTACAGGTGTCCAACTAGACTGTCCAGCTGATCACAGCCCTCTGCGCTCTGTCATTCAGCCAGTCCTCAATCCACCACCAATTAGAGGGACTGACAGGTCATGATGTACATTTCATGTTTAAATCTTGACAGTGATCATGGAGAGACTGATAAAAAATTTTACGAATTATGGTATGCCTTGTGGTGACAGAGCACTTTTTGTGTCCTATAGGAGTTCACCAGCAACACCATGCCTTAGTTTCCCTGTCTAAGAAATAACAGTGGCCTTTCTCCATTGTGCTTGGAGACTTCCAGGAGAATGTTGTCACCTACAATGAAAGCAGAAGGTTTCCAAGGGCAGTCCAGCAAATGCCTGGGGAATTTTGTGACCTAGCGAGTCTTGTGTATTCTTGTGTGGAGTGCCCCTGTCTCTCTGTACCTGCTTACTCCATCCCCTTCCCAGTTTTCATTCTTTGGTGATGAAGGCCAGCAAAGCATTTCCAAAGCAAAATGGAGGGGGAAGAGAAGCAAGTTGTTCAACAGAGACCTGCCAATCAAACTTGAATTCTGTTCCAAAATGTGTTTTGCAACTGGGTAGGGAATTTCTGCTTGTTCTTGGGCTTGCTGTTCTCAGCCAGGCGGGTCTGAGATTCCTCCAGTCATACCTGTTTCTTTTTATTCACAGTGTTGTATCCAGTTCTTACGTGTTTTCACTTCCCCTGATTACACAGCAACAGTGCCTGTCCTGGAACAGCCCTCTTGTGAAGGCTGTTGTAACTGGGCAATTACCAGCTTGTAAACTCCCTGGCAGTCCCCTCTTGAGGGCAAAGACATGGCAGCGTTTCATTTTCAGATGGTGACTCTGGCTTGCTCACCTTATCCTGTATCCCTGAGCCTTGGGAGCTTCCTGCTGGCTTCACACTCTGACCCAGGGATTCCTCTGGGCTTGTTCAGACAAGTTCTTCCCATCATTACGAGCTGGGGAATAAGGGAGTAAGCTTGTGGCTTTGGGATAGTATCCCATAAATTACCTTCAATGAAATATACCATATGTGAACCAAAATCTTCAATCACCATGTCAAACGTTTAGTTTGTTCATGGTGATCCTCAAGGACACATTCAACAAAGCACATTTCAGGTAGGCTACAATGGTCCTCGTGAGCCAGCCCCTGGCAGTGGCCCAGGAGCCTGTGCTGGTGCAGCAGGAGCAGTGGGCTCATGCCTGCCCACGAGAGAAGTGAAACCCTTCTCAGTGTATGCATTTTTGTCCAAGGCACAGGAAAAATGCTTGTGGGAGCGTGTGCAGCAGCAGAAAAACATATTTTTTAAAAAGCAGTGCTCTGCTAAAGGATGAATCATAGCCATAAGGCTGGTGATTTTGGGAAATAGTTCCCCACCTGGATAAGAAAAAGAAACGAACCAAAACAAATCTAACTTTGTGTTTAGGTTCACATGATAAACAAGAAGGGGATCCCTCTGCACAGCACTTCCATATTTTCCTGTAATATATAACCAGTGTTTACCCTCTGAATGACTCAAGGCTGGATGTCTTTAGGAAAACCTTCTTCCTATCTGAAATGTTGAGTGAATATCTCCTAATTTCTCTTTTCTGCTGTAGGAGCTTTCCTGAAAGAGGAAAAATAACTTTTGTTCCAGGCTTGGTTTTTGCTTATATTTCCTCCACCCTCTTTCACCTACTGCTTAAGTAATCTTTCCCCTAAAAAACAGGGCCAATTTTTTTTCCACGCAGAGGACTCCTGGCATGTATGGGCATATGTGTCCACATCTTTGTCACCAGAAGGTACTAGGGATAAACATACTCTGCAGGGGTCATATCATCAGTGGCAGGTCCCAGACACTGGTATTTTCCACGTGGGTCATGATCTTTGGCCAATGTTCCCCACAGCAGAGTCACTGATGAGAAAGTCGGGAGCCAACAGGGTGTCCTCAGGGTATGTTTAATGTCTCAGCTTTCTCACTGTCAAGTACCAAGACGCTCCCTCAGAAGGTGAACAGCTTTTCACTCTTGTTCCTTCTGAGTTCATCTATTTGTCTGTATTTCAGCCTGTACTTGCTAGCTAATGATTTCATATGAAGGTTTCAAATATTGCCACCTTGACCGATGATTTAACACTCTTCTTGAAGCTAATTGATTCTGGCCTACACCAGATATTAATGTGGCAAGGCTCATGAGCTGCACAGTACTTCAGTCTTTCTTTTTGCAATGTTTTCCTAAGCTCAGTCTAACTACTGTCGTTTTTACTGTAACTTCAAAATCAGCTTTCAGATATGCATGTCTCTTTGCCGTTTGAATACCTTGAATTTTTTTTAGACCAAGGGCAGAGTAAGAAAAAAGTGCCCGATTTCCACATTTAGGAGGCAAGAGCAGCAGTGAAAGGAAGCAGAGGAGCACAGGGATATTGGCTGTGACAGGCCAGCTGCCAGCACAGCACACCGCCTGGGAAACTTGGAGGTAGTAATAAGTTACACATCAGCTTTTTGAACTTACTATTGTTGACTTAAAGGGAGAGAAAATTAAAGAACTCTTGAATGCTGGCTTCCCATCAGAGGCAAAACCACAGAAGGAGGAAGAGCCAGAGAGGAAGCTGAGCTACCTTCCCTGCAGCAATTTAGGAATGACCAGTGGTAGGGAACACTTGTCACAGAGAAAACTACTTGGCCTTCAGATGACATCCCGTGCACAATTACAGTGCCTTACCGTAAACCTTGAGACACATCCTGCCAGTGACAGCCCCTGAGGGGAACGTGTTGAAGATGCATTTGTAGCATCCCTCATCTTGAAGAGTGACTCCATGAAGGGAGATGGCAGAGGCTTGTAACTCACTGTGGGCAAAGCTCACATGGCCAACGTAGCCTTTTGCTATCTTTTGGCCATTCATCATACTGTAAGTTGCTATGTTGTCTTCAGTCCCATCTGTCTCCTTCTGCCAGGTCACCTGCAGCACATCTTCTTTTGTGACTGAGCGGCATGAAAAAGTAACATTTCCTCCTGCCCGGGCCGACTGGACCTTTCTGTGCAACACCTGCACGGAGCCTGGGGGAGAAGCAGGTGCTGTTCTCAGCATTTCTCATCACCCTTCTGCGACCCACCCTCAATGGAAGCCCTCCCCCACTCCTTCATTCTCACTCCTGAGCAGGGCAGCTCTGGAGGATCTCACTGTTCCTCCATCCGGGGGAAAAAAAGAAACGAAAATGCATCCCAGAGAACAGCCCTGAAAGTTTTGCTGGACCTGACACCTCTCACACAGAGCATCTTGTCAGCCTGATACCTGTGCCACAGAGAACACTGCCAAGAAAGGCAGCTCTGGTAGCAGGAGTGACTGATTTCCGTCTGCTAAGACTGTTGTTCCATGCATACCCATGGAAAGGTTCCTTAAACATTCAGCCACACTAATAGCCAACAAATTGTTTGCCCTCCTGCAGTGCAGAGAAGCAAATCAGTAAAACTGCTAAAAATTATTACATTGTGCACCTACCCTTTTCAGAGACTGACAAGAGAGAAGAAAGCCACAAGGAAAAAGCAAGGTAGGGAGGACCAGAGGCAAACTGTCTGCTCTACTATCTCAGGCTTGAGTCTGTGCAGCTAGGAAGCAGTTGAGACCCTGCTGAAGGCCTATGGGTGAAAAATTTTCATAGCATAAATGCCATAATATTAAAGATCTCCAGGAAAAAGAAAATAAGAAAATTCATCTCCCCTTCCAATTCACAGGCATATGGAAAAACCATTCAGAGGACAGGCAGACAAAATGGATACTCCCATGTTTGACAGTTCAGCTCCCCAGTTCTCTGAGGATAAGAGTTTTTAAAGTTTACTTGTGTACATCAGCATGGGAAGGGAGATGCCAGCAGGGATAGTTATAGCACTGAAAATACATAGTTCTATTTATAAAAAAAGGGAATTATTGTTGCAGCTTTTAAAGAGGAGTGAGGCTATCTGCAGTGCCCAGAGTTACTCCTGGCTAACTTGCCTGACAAAACTCTCTCAGGACTTGCCCCCTGCATGGCTGTGGCCATGGCCAGGTAGATGTCCACTGGAGACCAAGAAGACAGTTGTGAAGCTGTGACAGTCATTTTGCTTTCTAGAGCTCAGTAGTGCCATAGGCAGAATACAAATCACAATCATGGAAGCTACTTTGAAACACAGTCGGGCTTTTCTATGTGATTTTTAGTTACAAATACAAGCGTAATACACCCACAGTTTTAGTGGCCTGAACAGATACCTACAAAAACCACATCCATTACTACAAAAAATTCTGTCTTGGCAAATCAGTGCCATACTCTGACCAAAATCCCAGCCACAACAGGAGATGAAATCAAACCTGAGTCATACGAGTCATTGGGAACATTTGGACGTTTGCCTGGATTATAATTTGCAAATTGCAATAAATTCATACATGTAGTAAATTAAGGAGAGGATACTATCAATGCAACTAGCAGTGACATCTGAAGCCCCACCGTGCCACAAGTGCCCTGTCACCCCTCGGGTTGCCCCTGGGGGATGTTCGGTGGGGACTGCAACACCCAGCAGCACAGCCGCAATGTCCCTAACACCGTTACAGTAATAGTACAAACAGATAGAGAAGGGAGTTACCTGATGCAATGGTCCAGATGCTGGAGAGGAGCAGACAAGCGACCATCATCTTAGCTGTGCACTCAGTGAGACAAGCAAGGGACTGATCCATTGAGTGCAGCTTCCCCTTTTTTATACACTTCGCTTTTACTCCAGGGACATTCCCCCCTCGCTGCACATACGGTAACAAGCAGCTCGTAAAACCTCCTGCCCCTCCAGCACTCAGCTGAAAAACAAAAATTTCAGGGGGCATGACAAAAAATGTCAGAGCCTGAAACTGCAGATTTCCCAGCTGGGCTGCGTGATGGACAGGGGTAATGAGTTAGAAGGCTGGGTTTTTCACAAGCGCCTTTTCCATAAGGTCTGGTTTTTGTAAGTGCCTAAATACAAGCCCAGGTTTCTAAGCTGGCTGAGCACCCAGTGTCTGTGAGTGGCAGAAGGAAAGACCACCCTGCCCCTGGCCTGAGCTCAGGGAAAGGAGATCAGGTCAATAGTCGTGCTGCAATCAGTAGTACAAACGTCCTCATCAAGTAACTCAGAGGACTCAGTTAGGGGTCTGCACCCCACATGTAATTCACTGGGGAGCCAGGAGCTGCTGGTGCTGCTGTAATACAACCCTTTTCTGGGCAAGGAGACCAGAGCAAACAAAACACCCAGCCCAGGGCCTAGGTCATACATTGCCTTGGGGAAAAAGCAAAGCCTTTGTTTCTCCTCTCCTCCATTGAGGTTGCCACCACATCCACAGGTTCATGCCACTTTCCCAGCCCTGTCCCTTGGAAAGCCAGGGCTGCCATCCCTCAAGCAAACCCATCTTCTCCACCCTCACCTGAGAAGACATAAAAATAGTTCACATGGCTGTTTTGAGTCACTGTTTATGTATCTTTTTTGCTTTGTCACTTGAACCCCTGTGCTTCTTTTTTTCTGCCAGCTGCAATCACGTTGCTGAAACCAAGAAAGCCCTTGGCCCGTGGGTGGTTCATGCACTGCAGAATGGGAAAAACAGCCAGGGAGGTCTCATTTGCTAATCAAACTATGTTTTGTGTTTCTGCTTTCTGAATAGATGGCTTACATTTCTGCAAGTTCTTCTGACTCCAGATGACTGTGATTGCATTAAATGTTTTCATTTTAGTTCAATTGTTGCACGTATTAACCTCGAATCATGCAAATAGCTTGAGGGAAACCAACAGGCCCAAATCATAACATGATAAGAAATATTCTCAGATATGTTTGCATATATAGAGTTCCTTACCTTCTCCCAAGTGGTAATTAATAATCTGAAAATAGAAACAGAACTAATATCAGTATTCTTCCAAAGAAACATTTTTTAAGTGCTTTTGAGTAGGTTCAATAATTCATTCCCATCACTCTGGAAACTGCAATTGCTTCATACTGCTGTCTTCTTCCTTTGAGGTTTCATCTCGTTTTCCCTTCCTTGAGTTATTTTCATAGCTGTGTTTTCTTGCAAGATTTCTGGAAGGGCATTCCATCGTGATCAAAATGTGAAGTCAATGAAAAACAGTTCTTGTGGGGTTTGCCAGACCATTTCACAGCTATTAAGCAATGCAAATTGCTCCAACAGGCTGTGGAACAAGGCAGAAGAGAAAACTAGCAGCCTTGAAATGGAGCTTCACAAGAAAATATTTGGTTTCTGATTATCAGCCTCTCAGAACTTTCAAAACTAAAAAAAAAAAAAAAAAAGATTTGGTAAGACTATGTCCTTCTGCACCAAAACCTCCTCCTGGCAGGGTGCCATTGTCCTATGTAGGGATGCAAACATTCATTCCAGGCTTTGTTGGTCTTCTCACCTTAGCTCTGTTACGAATATGAAACAAAACTTTAAAGGAAGAACATTCCACAAGCTTGCAGACACTTTTACTGAAGTCTTCAAAGCTGAACTTCACCACTTAGTGATCACAAAAGGAACTGCACTTGATTTAAAAAAGAACTACAGGCCCAGTTGATATATGTTGCTATTCATAGGAAATGTTCTCGTCAGCTTTAACCATTTTATTTTCTACCAGAAACCTTGTCATGTTCCAAAAGCCTTTCTGAACAACCTTGACAACCTGGGTGCTGCTACAGTAAACAACTTTCAAAAAAAAGACCTAACCAACAATCTTAACAACAGCTGGGCAGAGGACAGAGATAGCTATTGCAGCTAGAAAAATATATTGACTTTAAATTGCTTTCTTCATTGACTACCTGGTGATAAAGAGCCACATACATTGGCTGCTCCTTCCAGGCCCTGCCTCTCCCCTGACAGCTCATGATGCTGTGAAGGAACTTGGGCATGTGGGGAGCTCCCCCTCCCAGCCCATGTGCGTGTCCCTGTATTGCATAAGACTACTGCAGTACTTCTTTCTGACCCCCTCTTCCTCCAATGACCAGCCAACATCAGCAACTGATGAATTTCTTAAAATGTAAAGTAGGCAGGAATGTGAGGCCCACTCATTAAGCCCACCACCTATTTCACTTCTGTGAATATAACTTGAAGTCCATTTATTCAGATACATCCTGATTTGTTTGTCTTTGCATAAACTTTTGGTGTATTACAGATCTCCTCCTTGCTTGTCAGTCAAATCCCATGCTGTCCTCCATTAGTCACACTGCAGCTTCATTTCTGAGAACTGCACATAACACCTGAGCTCCAGGCACTTCCCAAAGCACAGTGAAGGCTTGGGAATAAATTAGGCAGAAGATAGTTCTGCAACCACTGCTTGAAAAAACCTGCGATTCACATTCTTCTCTTCCTTTCTGCTACACGGGGAGGTCTCTCTAGTTCCCACTAACTCCAAAGAGGACATACATACACCTTGGCTGGATTTGGAGAGCTGCAATATGCTGGAGTAATGATGGTAGCTGCATATACTGATGCACACTCCAGCCTGCGCTGCTGCATCCGAGTGTGCTGTGGCAGGACCCCCAGTCAGCAGCCGAGGGATGCTGCAGGACCAGGATGCTCATTTGGGCAGGCTTACAAAGTGCCACGTTTGTGCACAACTTTTAGATCAGACAACACACAAGGGCAGTTTGTGCGCAGCCACAGCTGCTTATCCTTGATCATGTTTGATTTGGAGATATTTGATCTGTTGTCTCTTTTCCGCTGGGGATTCCTCCCCTCGCTACCACACAGCCATCAGCTGCAGTACATGACTGCAAACCAGAGCTGCAGGAGCTGAAACCTGGCGTGGCTCTTCCTAGCAAGTGCAAAAAGAGAAACAAAGAAGGAGGGCTGCTTAACTAGCATGTAGCTCCTGGTAGGGTATATCTATCTGCAAAACCACACATTACCAGAGGACAGTGTGTGCTGTGAAGCTGTCCAGTTAACTGCCCATCACTTCTCAGCTCTGTATTTTGATGCAATTTCTGCAGACACCTGAGATCTTTGTAAGAACAGAGATTGCTTTTTCTTTTCCAGCAACGTACTGCAATTGAAATGCATGAATTAAAACATACTTACACCCTGAACCATCAGCCCTGCAAACTCTATTTCTGGTTCTTCTCTTTTAATTCTGAGGTGGAAGAAAAAAGGATTACAAAAAGACAAAAAGGATAGGAGGAAACAAAACCAGGCTGCATGGGAAAAATTCAGTAGCTAAGGGTGTATTTCATTGGGGTCATGAAGGGTTTTACCATTTAGTTTGTCACATCATTTCTCAGAAAAACAGGATGGTCAGGCATGTGGTTTCCTTTTTCTGAGAGTACCCCAAGTTGCTATTTCAGTCAAGGGATCTTAGAGGGAGTCCATGCTGCAGCCTGCTAGCCTCTTCATGGAGGCCACCAGCACCACCTCAACCTTGCCGGATGCAGTGTCACAGGAAGCCACATCACTCATCCATTCCTCCCCCCTTTCCTCTCCCACCCTCACTTGTCAGTGCTTGTCTGAAGTGGAGGTATTAGGGTTTATTTTCTTCAGGTGGACAATATCTGGGTGCTGCACGCACTTACGGTGTGAGAGATATTGAGCCTCTTCAGTTACTGAGCTCCATGCTGTAAAGCAGCCAGTACAGAAAACAATTCAGCCAGCAGGGAAACCAATCCAAAGTTGGCTATCCAAGGGTACAGAGATCCAGTGAATGATGGGAAGCTGCCTACCAAAAATAAGGTAGGTCCAATAACATTTTATATTTAATTACTAGACAAGAGTACTAAGAGTGATTTTATTAAAAATAGGAACAAATGCAATGAATCAGCCTTAAGAGACTATGTAAGGTACCATGACCAGCCTTTTGATTAAACAAATTAAGATGAACAGTATAGCTCTTAGTACGTTTAGAGTATTGCCTCAGGATGATTTTTAGGCAGGTGACTTCATCTGTAGGTTCCCAGCACTGGGAGTCTGATGAAGGGAGAAAGGGCGTTCCAGGTGACGAACACAAGGAGCAGAGAGTACTTGTTGTCTGTTCCAGGTTTCCAGGCTCAGAAACTACATTTAGAGGTTCACCTTGTCCACTTTTATCTATTGCACCATGTCTCATAAAGACAAGCTTTTATATACACTTTATAGAAATAGATTAAATTATACAATATATTTAAATGCTGTACATGGCATACGTAAGTATGCTATAGTTATGTGCAACAAAGGTTAAGAATAGATCGTCTCCTAAGGAACTGTGAAGACAGAGGAGGATGCTCCGCAGGAGCCACCTAGGACAAGCAGGTTGCCTTCAGCAGTGCTGGTGCCAAAGATACTCAGGGCAGGGACCCCAAACACCGCTGGGCACTGGCCAGGCTGCCCCCTGCTACAGCCAACAGGCTGCCATCACTGCCCTCCCTGGGATGAGGCTTCCCAGCAGGATTCACCACAGTTCAGTACAGCACTCTTTAATGTCACCCATAGAAAGGGGGACAAATCATACTAGAATTTTCCCTTTTATCTGGAATTATATTATAAATTTTCTTGTTACCTGGATATTGTCAAGCACTTGGATATTTCTGAGTTGGTCAAATAGGACATGAAGGAGAGCTTGTGCTTCCGAGGCAGGACATTACAAAACAGAGAAATAAAGTCATGTAGCTGGAAATATTTAAATAATAGTAATGAACATCTCAAAAAACCCCTAGCTGATT